CTGTTCCCAGCCCCTCCCTCCTGTCCCCACCGTGTCCCCATGTGTGTCCCCAACCCCTCCCTCCTGTCCCCACTGTGTCACTCCTGGTGTCCCCAACGCCTCCCTCCTGTCCCCACTGTGTCACTCCCGCTGTCCCCAACCCCTCCCTGCCATCCCCACCGTGTCCCCATGTGTGTCCCCTTCCCGTTTCTGCCACTTTGTCCCGTCCCAGCCGTGTGTCCCCTGTGTGTGTCCCCTGTCCCCTGGCCATGTCCCCTGTCCCCTGTCCATGTCCCCTGTCCCCCCTGTGTGTGTCCCCCATGGCCAGGGAGGTGACACAGCTGTCCCCAGGGACCCTGCCCAATGTGTACAACCCCCCGTCCATGTCCCCTGTCCCCCGTGGCCGGGGAGGTGACACAGTTGTCCCGGCTGTCCCCAGGGACCCTGCCCAACGTGTACAATCCCCTGTGTGTGTCCCCTGTCCCCCGTGGCAGGGGAGGTGACACAGCTGTCCCGGCTGTCCCCAGGGATCCTGCCCAAGGTGTACACCCCCCTGTGTGTGTCCCCTGTCCCCTCTGGCTGTGTCCCCTGTGCCCCGTGGCCAGGGAGGTGACACAGCTGTCCCGGCTGTCCCCAGGGACCCTGCCCAACATGTACAACCCCCCCAGCTGTGTCCCCTGTCCCCCGTGGCCGGGGAGGTGACACGGCTGTCCTGGCTGTCCCCAGGGATCCTGTCCAACGTGTACAACCCCCCTGTGTGTGTCCCCTGTCCCCCCTGGCCGGGGAGGTGACATGGCTGTCCCTGGTGACACGGCTGTCCCGGCTGTCCCCAGGGATCCTGCCCAACATGTACAACCCCCCCCCGGGGCTGTGCTGGGACCAGCTCTGCAGTGACCCCCCCGTGGTGGACGGGGACGGCCCCGAGCGCAACGTGGACTCGGTGGTCACCTCCTTCCTGCGGGCGGCGGCCACGCAGGTCCTGGCAGGGCAAAAACGGGGCCGGGACCCCCAGGGGGAGCCCTGAGGGGGTGGGGGTCCCTGGCCACGAGGGTCTCTGTCCCCTCAGGGTGGGATTTCTGGGGGTCCCCGATTGTCCCTGTCCCCCAGGGATGGAATTTCCAGGTGTCTCTGTCCCCTGGGATGGGGGAAAAGGGGGGTCCCTGTCCCCTGGGATGGGGGAAATGAGGTCCCTGTCCCCCCAAGATGGGATTTCTGGGGGTCCCTGTCCCCTGGGATGGGGGAAAAGGGGGTCCCTGTCCCCTGGGATGGGGGAAATGAGGTCTCTGTCCCCCCAAGATGGGATTTCTGGGGGTCCCTGTCCCCTGGGATGGGAGAAAAGGGGGTCCCTGTACCCTGGGGTGGGATTTGTGGGTGTCCCTGTCCCCTGGGATTGGATTCCCAATTGTCCCTGTCCCCAGGATGGGATTTGTGGGTGTCCCTGTCCCCAGGGATGGGATTTGAGGGTGTCCTTGTCCCCCTGGGATTGGATTTGTGGGTGTCCCTGTCCCCAGGGTGGGATTCCCGGGTGTCCCTGTCCCCCCAAGATGGGATTTCTGGGGGTCCCTGTCACCTGGGATGGGGGGAAAAGGGGGTCCCTGTACCCTGGGGTGGGATTTGAGGGTGTTCCTGTCCCCTGAGATTGGGGAAAAGGGGGTCCCTGTCCCCCAGGGATGGGATTTGAGGGTGTCCTTGTCCCCCTGGGATTGGATTTGTGGGTGTCCCTGTCCTCCAGGAATAGAGGAAAAGGGTGTCCCTGTCCCCAGGATGGAATTTCTGGGTGTCCCTGTCCCCAGGGTGGGATTCCCGGGTGTCCCTGTCCCCCCAAGATGGGATTTCTGGGGGTCCCTGTCACCTGGAATGGGGGGAAAAGGGGGTCCCTGTCCCCTGGGATTGGATTCCCAATTGTCCCTGTCCCCCAGGGTGGGGTTCCCGGGTGTTCCTGTCCCCAGGCTGGGGTTCCCGATTGTCCCTGGGTGTCCCCCTGTGTCCCTGTGTGTCCCGAGCCGTGTTCCCGTCCCCAGGGTGGGGTTCCCGGGTGTCCCCGTGTGTCCCCGTGTGTCCCGAGCCATGTCCCCGTCCCCAGGCTGGGGTTTCTGGGTGTCCCCGTGTGTCCCGAGCCGTGTCCCCGTCCCCAGGCCGGGGTTCCTGGGTGTCCCCGGGTGTCCCCGTGTGTCCCGAGCCATGTCCCCGTCCCCAGGCCCAGCAGTACCGGACCCGGCACATCCTGATGACGATGGGCTCCGACTTCCACTACGAGAACGCCCACCTGTGGTTCAAGAACCTGGACAAGCTGATCGCCCACGCCAACGCCAGGGTGAGGGGCTGTCACCCCAAAATCCCTGTGTCACCCCAAAATCGGTCACTGTGTCACCCCAAACATCACTGTGTCACCCCAAAATCCCTGTGTCACCCCAAAATCCCTGTGTCACCCCAAACCCCTTGTGTCACCCCAAAATCCCTGTGTCACCCCAAACATCACTGTCACCCCAAACCCCCTGTCACCCCAAAATCCCTGTGTCACCCCAAAATCAGTCACTGTGTCACCCCAAAATCAGTCTCTGTGTCACCCCAAACCTCAGTATGTCAC